CCAGCTGGCTCTCACCTCCCCCTGCAGACTCTCCAGCTGCGTCCTCAGCTCTGCTCCTGCCAGGACCTGAGCCTGGCACTGCCCCCGGAGGCCATCCAGTTCTCTCTGCAGCTCCTGCTCGGTCTGGGAGGCCTGTGGGTTGGTGGGGGGGAGGCAGTGGAGCCCTCAGCTGGCCCTAAACCTTGACCCCAAGCCCAGTGCACCCACCCCCACACTGGGACACAGGCATCCGCCCTCATTCTGCCGGGGACACAGAGTCGGTTCTCCCACCTGGGCCAGCTGCTGGCTGAGCCGGAGGTTCTGCTCGCTGAGCTCACTGAGGGCCCGCGCCCGCTCACGCCCACTGCCCTGCTGCTCGGCGCGCTGCTCTCCCAGCTGGGCCCGCAGGGCCTCCACGTCCCCCTCCAGCTCCACAGCTCTGGCCTCCCATTCTGCGCCCCGTGCTGCCAGGCCCCGGCGGAGTTCATGGTTCTCCTGCTGCAGCCGCTGTGGGGGCCGGGACAGAGGGGGTGAGGCTGGAGTGAACACACGCACAGACGCAAAAGGGGTCTAGGTGGGTCTGAGACAGGCGTGGAAGCAAGAGGGAGAAGCAGGCAGAGAATGAAAACCAGAGCCTTGGAGGCGAGGGGGAGTGGAGAGGTTACCAGGTCAGGCAGGAGGAGCTGACCTGGGACCGGAGGAGAGTGGGGCTCCCTGATGGCCTCTCACCTCTGTCTGCTGCCCGGGCTTCTGGACCCGAAGTCGCAGGCGCCGTTTTTGGCGCCTGAGTCTGGCAGAATTTAAGCCCCGGCCCATGGCCTCGCCAACCGATGTTCCAGGGGCTCTGGAGGTTCAGCCTCCGCTCAGCCCCTCTCCCCCAGCTCCTCTGGGCCAGCTCCCTCTAATTAACCCTGGCCAGCCCCGCCTGGGCCTCGCGCCTCTGCGTGCCCTCCCCAAAACCTGTCCAACCAGCAGGGGGACGCTCTTGGCACACCCAGGTGCCCAGCTTGGGGAGGCAGGCAAGTCGGGGGGCCAGCTTCTCGCCCCTACTCTCTATAAACTCTCAAAGCAGGAAGACGGTGCTAACCATATGCTGTTCCAAATATCAGCAGGTACTCCTGCCAGGCCCTGTGCTAGCGCTTTCCTGGTACCATTTCATTTAATCAACCACAGTTAGAATTGTTAATGTACTTATTTTATATATGAGTAACCTGGAGCTCAGAGAAGTTAAATGCCTGGCCCAAGGACACACAGTAAATCAGTGAGGCAAAGATTCCAACCCAGGTGGCCAAACTCTTAACCAAATATCGTGGGGGCAACACAGCTCTCGGATTAAATCCCCAGGTTCAGGGTCCAATTGTCCTGGCTGATGCCCTGCCCTGCTGCTGCTTTGTGATTAGACAGGTCCCTTAATATCTCCGGGTTCCAGCCACACCTAGCCATCCGTCCAGTACCTCCTGAGCTCCTCCTGTTGTGGGGTCTGGCTATGTGCAGTACGCGAGACCACCAAGTTCCCAGCCTCCAGCAGCTTAGACTCCAGAGAGTCACAGGCAAATGGACACATGCTCGAACTTTGTCATTTCAGAGGGAATGTAAGGGCTGTAAAGAAACTCCGATGAAGAAGAGTGGGGTACGTTGGGGGGTCCTTTAAAGAGAAAGTGATGTTTGAATTCACACCTAAAGCGTAGGAAGGAAGAGGGCTACACCAAGGATTGGCAAGTGCAAAGGTCCTGAGGGAACACACGTGGGTTACTCAAGGAACTGAAAAGAGGTCCTAGGGGAGGATGGCTGTGTGGCCAGCTGAGGCCCTCGCGTGGGGACTTCCGGGCCCTGGTGAAGAGTCTCAGTGTCATTGTAAGTGTGATAGCGAGCCGTTGGGGGATTTTAGGCAAGGACTGAAATGATCCGATTTGCAATTCTTGAAGATCCCTCCGGCTGCCCTAGAATGGAGCATGGAGAATGGGTTGCAGGGGGCGGGAGTGGATGCTGCGGATGAGTGAGGAGGCGGCTGTGGGGCTGGTGCAGAGGTGCTGTTGGGAGGCCAGCTTGGAGGCTGCAGAGACCACGGGAAGCGGGTGGGTTCGGGATCTAGTTTAGAGGTGAAATCCACAGGGCTTGCACACGTGGGAGGAGAGAGGTCATGAGATGCTCGGGCTCTGGTCCTGAGAAGATGGGAAGCCGGGATGAGGACCACCAGTGATGGGGTCAGAGTCAAGAGCGCCACTTATGTTGAGATGCCCATTAGGTGGCCCGGGGAGGAAGTGAGGGGCATAAGCTCCCCATCTCGGGGCAGTGGTTGGGGCTATACGGATGCTGGAGTCAGTGGTGTCCAGGGTGTCTAGGGGGCCAGATGTGACCCTTGGAATGACTGTGTGGCTGAAGACAGCCTGGACAGAGGGGGGAATTCTTCTACCTCCCAGGATTAGGTGAGAATTGATGGAGATAATGCACGGAAAGGGCTGAGCCCAGAGCAAGGCAGGGAGGAGAAACCCGATAACACCTGGCTGGGCTTGCGCCATCCTGCCGAGGAGCCAGACCCAAGATTCAGAGAAGGCCAGTGGCTGGCCCAGGGTCACACAGCCAGGCAGAGGTCTAAACCCAGATCTCGACTTGTCCTCAGAGCCCCTGTTCTTAACCACCAGCAAGCCTGGGCCATCCCCCTGCCTGGCTTTCCTCCCCCTGCCCACCTGTCTCCCACCTGCCCACCCACGTGGATCCTCCTACCTGTCCTCCGTCTGCTCACCCTGTCCCCTGTCCCACCCCTGCCCCATGCCGCCAGCTCACTTCCTCACGCTCAGAGTGCTGGGCGCTCAGTGTCTCCAGCTGCCGCTGTAGCTCCTCGTTGCGCTCCAGAAGCATCTTGCCAAGCTCCGCGGCCAACAGCAGGTCCTTCTCCTTCTGCTGCAGCTGTAGGGCCAGGTCCTCGGGCTCCCCGGGCCCTGGGCCCCCTCCCAGGAATGAGTCCCGCCTTTCCAGCACAAAGGGGAAGAAGCCCTCATTGCCACTGGGGGAGGCACCTCCAGAGAGCAGCCCCGACAGGAAGCTTGGTCCTTGTGGGGAGCTCATGGCGCCTGCAGCATCTGTGGGCACAGGTGCGTCAATGGGGAGAGGCAGGTGCTGCACACTCTGTTCTGCAGCCCGTTGGGACTTGCCCCCTGCTGGTCAACATCTGGCCCTCTCAGTCCTGCAGCCAAAGCCTCCCTGGGCCAGGCAGAGTTAATGATCTGTGTCTTGGCCACCCAGCTCCGTTAATGTCCCCAGGGTAAACTGAGGCAGGGAGCACAAGGAAATGAGCTGCCGTTGCCCCAGTGCCCCAGGACCGCAGGTGCCCCCCACTACTGACAGTGCCCCCCACGGCCCACACCTTCGCTGTTCTGGCTCCCAGTCCCTCACCAGCCGGGAAACTCTTCCTAGAAAACAAGTTCTAAGAGACTCAGGACTCAAGATGAGCTCAGTCCCTTCTCCTCCCAAGAATACAGGCCTTGGGAATTTAGGTGTGCGGACCCCTCCTCTTCCAGAAGCCCAGGTCCCCGGCCCCCTGCCCTCCCAGGTATCCTGGTGCTTGCTTTCCTCTTTTCTCAAGATCCAAGTGTTTTGGTCCCCTTGGAACTCAGGTGCCCAGATCCAGTCCTCCCATTCTGGAGTGTTGGCCCCACTTCCCCAGGGGCCCCGGGTCAGGCCCAGGGCAGGGCCAGCTAACAGGTTGTGCCAGCAGACTGCGCCCGGCCACTCCAGGTTTCTGTTTACTTCCCTGCCCGCCCCTGGGGATGGGAGCCTGGTGGCGCTCTCCTAGGGCTGCTTAGGACCCGGCCATTCAGGGGCTCAGAAGGAGGAGACACACCATACTTCGCTGGCACCCTCCCCACCTCCAGCCCTCTGGAGGTCCCCCCACCCCTTACACACACACGTGCACACGCACACACACACCTGTCTCTTCCTCCCGAGGTGTCCAAGCCCAGCCCTATCCGCAGGACCCAGTTGTCGAGGTTGTCCCAGCACAGCGGGGACCCAGAGTCTCCCTGAGGTGGCCCCTGCGGGCCCCTGTGGGCTCGACCCCGCTCTGGAGACCCGGGGGCGCCCCTCTTCCTCCTCCCGCTTCCTCGCCCCTCCTCGCACCGAGCTGCTGTTTAGGACCTCGACCCAGGCGTCTGGGCTCCCAGGCCCTCGACCCCCCCCCCCGGCCCCAGGGGTCCGAAGGTCAGCGACCACCTACTTTCCTGCCCGTGCCCCCCGCTTGCCGGCCCCAGGAGTCAGGCCCGACCACCCCACCCCCGGCGCCCGCTCGCCCCGACCCTGTCCTGCCCGAAGCTCCAACGGCCCCTGTCCTCGGGCGCCCCCCAGGTTCTCACCCGCCGACGCCGGCCGGGCTCCCTCCAAGGTCCCCGCGGTCCCCGATCCCCTCTTCCGGAGGCGGCGCCAGGTGCCCGGCCGGCGCAGGTGAGGGGGCGGTGCCGCGGGCGGGACTGGGGCGCCCCCTGGCGGCCGGAATGGCCCGGCGGGGCTGAAGAAGAGTCGCCTCCACCCAGCTCTGCGGCACTGACCCATCTTGCTGCCGTCAGAAACCATGGGCCCCATTAATTGAGCACCTGCTGGGTGCAGGTGACGCTGAGCACAGACGTCAGTTCCTTTCCCTTCACAACTGCCCTGTGGGATAGGACATTACTGAGAATGACAACAAGGACAAATATAACATATTAAGCGCTCTGCTAAGTAAGTTCTTTTATGGGCACAACTAGTTTCCTTTTATGACATCCTAAGGAAGCAGGACCTGCTATTATCCTATTTTGCAGATGAGGAAGCTGAGGCTGAGGGGGGACCCCTAACTTGCTTGGGCTACACCAGCAGAACGTGAATGTGAACCTTAGAAGTGTGACTTGAGGGTGTGTGCTAATTCCCGTGCTGAGACCTTAGCGTGTGTGCGTCCGAACTCGGGGCTCTCAGTTTCGAGGTGGCACAAGGCTGGACCCCATGCTCCAGTCCGAGGACAGAGGACTCGGTGTGGGGACCAGGAGGATTCAGGGCCGGGTCCAGCCCAAGGCAGCCTGGGCATGCGGGGGATGAGTCCCTCCAGACTCCCAGGGCTCCCTGGCCCGCGGTCCGGGGCCTCCTGGCCTCGGGGGCAGGGACAAAGGGAGAGCTGGAACAGTGGTGTGCTGGTAGCTCTTCCACAACAGGCTTTCTGGGGAAAAAGAAAGCCCCAATTTGTTGACTTGGCAGTTTCTGAGGTATTGTGCTCCCTGCCGGCTGATTTCAAGCTACCAAGGACATTACTGAATGTGAAGTTGGGCAGAGATGTGCGCTATATTGGCTTTTGTCATCTGGGAGCACCTGGCTCCTAGGTCTCTGGCTGGCGGTCGGGATTCCTGAGTCTTGGGAGACCGAGGCCTAGCTGCCTGGGTTCTAGAGAAATAAGGAAGATGGGAGCTGGACCTCCTGACTTGTGGAAAAACGGGTGCAAGGACTCGTTGGAGGGGGGGTTTAGGGGCTGGGACTGCTGGGTCCCAGGAGGGTTGGGAGAAGATTTCCTGCCAATGCAAAGGAGGGGAGCCCATTTCCTTTGCAAAGAGGTCTGAGGGCTGCATGGCCTAGTGAGGCCACCATTGTTTTGCCACAGCACCTGTGACAACAGCCTGGTGGACTTTGGAGATACCTCAGTCTCCCCTTGGTGCCACCACCTGACCCCTCCAAATGCCAGGGTCACCCTGAGCCCCACCCACACCCATACTTAGCACACATTCCCTGAGTCCCCCTTCTGCCAGGCAGGGGGCTGGACTCACCTGGTGATGAAGTGGTCAAGGCCTTCCTCCCAGGAGGTTCGAAGCTCCACCCAGCAGCTGGGAGGGGGCATAGACCTATAAACCAGAAACGAACCCATAAAGCAATACAGCACAGGAGCTTGGCTCATGGACACTGGCATCAATGGCTTCAGGCCAAATCCCAGTTTGGCCATACGTTAGCTGGGCGCACCTGGGTCATTTAGCTGATTAACCTCTGCAGCCCTCACTTTCCCTGTCAATTGCTAGCTTAGAGGGTTGTGGGGCTTAAGGAAGGGTCAAGTCCTGCTGGTGGCCCTCAGCAGGGCCATAGCAAGGCCGCAGAGGTGACTCACCACCCATGTTCCAGTGTGTCTCCTCCTCACCGCCACCCTGTGAGGTCATACCATTCTCGGACCCGAAACCAGCTCAGGGACGCCCAGTGATCTGCCTGTGCCTGCAGTGGGAGGCCCCTCAGCCCAGTTTGCCTGGCACCCAGCCCCAGTCACTCTTTGGACGTTTGAATCAGCGCCCTGCCTCATCTGGACCCGGGAATTCTGGCCTCCAGCTGCCCAGCCCCTTCCCTGCCCCTTGGCTCCCCTCCCCCAACCTCCCCGCTGATTCCAGGAGGGAAATGGATCAGAGGGGCAGAGTGGCCCCAGGGAAGCCCCAGGGAGGCTGGGACATAGCCAGCGAAGGGAGGGGAAGATCAGCCAGCCCTTACAGGTTCTCCAGCCAGCCCTCTGACAAGCCCGCTGTCTGGAGCCTCCAGGCCCATGCTCACCCTAGAACGCTCTCCCCCATCTTCCCCAAAGCCCGTTGGGCCCCTGCTATGCCAAGTCTTGGCTCCAGGATCTGCTCCCTGGGGAAGACTCCACAGACCTCACAGAGCCGTGGGCAGTTGATGCTGGCGTCCAGAGGCCAGCAGATGCCCCCTGCCATAGAGGCAACCCCGTGGGAATGGCGCAGGTCCAGACCGAGGGGCCTGCAGGCTTTTACGACATAGACAAAGTCTATGAACAATAAGTAGTATTGTTGGGAGCGCTTTAAACCTCTATATAAAATAGTTCACACTGAATGCGTTGTTCTGCAACTCACTTTTTCCTTTTAACCTGATGTTTCCAAGTTTCTTCCCATCTAAAAAAACCCACACAAAATAAAAAACTCAGCTTTATGGAAGTAGGTATTTGTTTCCTAAGTCTGCTGTAATCAATTACTACAAACTGGGTGGTTTAAGCAACAACGATTTATTGTCTCATAGTTCCAGAGGCCAAAAGTCCAAAATCAAAGTGGGGGCAGGGTTGGTTCCTTCTAGAGGCTCCGAGGATGAATTCTCTTCTGTGCCTCTCTCCTAGCATCTGGTGGCTGCCAGAGACCCTGGATGTTCCTTGGCTAGGAAGAGGACCTCTCCAACCTCTGCCTGCCTCTTCACATGGCCTCCCCCTCTGGGGCTCCTCTGTGACCCTGGGTCTCAGATCTCTCTCTCCTTTCTCTTATAGGGACACTATTCATTGAGGTAGAGCCCATCCTAAGTCCAGGATGGTCTCATTGTGAGATCCGTAACTTACAACTGCAAAAATTCTATTTCCAAATAACAGCACATTCTCAGGGACTGGAAATTGGGACTCGGACATCTGTTTTTTTGGAGACACAATTCAACCCACTACAAGGAATAATTAATTAATTAATTAATTAATTATATATTTTTTGGAGAGAGCATGAGAGCAGGGGAGGGAGGGGCAGCAGGGTAAGGAGAGAGAGAATCCCGAGCAGATTCCCCACTGAGCTCCAAGCGGAACCTGCCACTGGGCTCAGTCTCACGACCCTGAGATCATGACCTGGGCTGAAATCAAGAGCCGGACACTCAGGCGCCTGGGTGGCTCAGTCGTTAAGCGTCCGCCTTCGGCTCAGGTCATGGCCCCGGGGTCCTGGGATTGAGCCCTGCATCGGGCTCCCTGCTCAGCGGGGAGCCTGCTTCTCCCTCTGCTTCTCTCGCTCTCTCTCATGAATAAATAAATAAATAAAATCTTAAAAAAAAAGAAAAAAATTCAAACCTCAAGAAAAGTTGCAGGAATAATGTAATGAATACCCTCCATGTAGGCTCACAATTGTGAACATTTTGCCACATATGCTTTATCTCTCTCTTACACAGCACATACCTGCACACATTTTGCTAAACCATTGACTACCTCAGCTGGCACCTCCTGAGGGCACAGATATTCTATATAATCATGTACCATTATCACATGTGACAAACTGAACAGTGATAAAAAAGATACAATAACCTTACCTAATATAACCATGTTCTAATGTTCCCGGTAATGCCCTTTTTAGACGATGTTTTCTTTGATCCAGGATGAAATCAAAGACCATATTTAGCTGTCATGTCTTTCAAGTCTCCTTTAATCTAAAATAGTCCATTGGGGCTCCTGGGTGGCTCAGTTGGTTAAGCGCCCGACTTTTGATTTTGGCTCAGGTCCGCAAGTTCAGGATCATAAGATAGAGCCCCCCCCCCCCCCGTTTTGGGCTCTGCAATCAGGGGGAGTCTGCTTCTCTCCCTCTCCCTCTGCCCCTTCCCCTGCTCGCGTTCTTGCTCGCTCTCTCTCTCAGATAGATAAATAAACCTTTTAAAAAATAAAATAAGATAGTCCGCTTGTTGGGGCACCTGGCTAGCTCAGTTTATAGAGTATGCAACTCTTGATCTTATAGTCATGGGTTCAAGCCTATGTTGGGTGTAGAGACTACTTACAAAAAAATAGTAAAAATAGTCTGCTTGTCTTTCTTTTTTTTTTACAAAATTTTATTCTTGAATGTACAACAGGATCTAAGACAACACTTCATTCCAGCTATAGGTAGCAACAGATGCTATGACAGGGAATCCAGATGTTTAAACAGGAATGGAATTAAGGATCATCATTGCCTCGGGCACAAGGAACAGCTTACTTTTTGCCAGATTTCTTAATTCCACCTGTGGCCAGGGGGCCCTTCCCCGTGGCCTTCGCTTTTAGCTCCTCGAGTTTCTTCTGCTCCTCCTTCTGTTGCTGCTTGAATGCCTTATCTTCCTTGTCCATCCCCTTGGCCTGCTTCTTGGGCTGCTTCAGGGTCTTCTTCTTGCCACCTTTGCGGCCGGACATGGCGCCTGCCGCCCCTTCCCCCAGACCCTGCCCAGTCCGCTTGTCTTTTTATGTGTCTTTCAGGACATTGATTTTTCTTTGTTAAGGACTCCATGGAGCGCCTAGCTGGCTCAGTCAGTGGAGCGTGTGACTCTTGATCTTGGGGTTGTGAGTTTGAGCCCCATGTTGGATATAGAGATTACTTAAAAATGAAAACATCTTTAAAAAAAAAAAAAAAAGGACTCCAGGCAGCTGTTTTCCAGAATGTTTCTGAGATTTATCCTTAAAGATGCATTTGGATGTAGTTTGTTAATAGCTGTATGGTTTTTCATCCAATGTTTATGCTCCGATTTATTTCTCAACTCTTCTGTCAGTGAAGGACTTAGTCTTTTGGCACTTTTTCAGTGTTATAAACAACATTCTAATGCACATCGTTGTACACAGACCTCCATGGACACGTGGGTGGGAGTCTAATGCTGTTATCCATCTAGAAGAGTGAATCAGTAGGGGGAGGTGTTCCGTTGTTCTCCTGCTGCGGCATAATGACCATTCCACAACTTAGAAGCCTTCAAACAATTATTTGGTTTTCTATTTCACAATTGTGAGGGTGGGCTGGGTTCTGCTGCAGATTCTCGCTGCTGGGCTCTCGTGCAATTGCACGTAAATAGTGGCTGGGGCTGGGGTCATCAGAAGTCTTGGTTCCCACGTCTGGGGCCCAGGCTGGATGACTGGGTCACTGGATCAACTGGGGTCAGTTGACATTTCCCTCCCCACATGGCCCTTGCCTGTGGCTTGCATGGATGTCCTCACGGTATGGCTATCCCAGACATGGCAGCTGCTTGCCCCAGCACAAGGGTCTAAGGGGCCTGGGTAGAAGCTGCAAGACTTCTCAAGACTCAGCCTTGGAGGTTGAGAAACTCAACCCCGAGGACCATCACTTCTATGGCATTCTACTGATAAGCCACTGGGACCAGCCCAGGCTCCAGGGGAGAGGATTTGATTCCACCTTTCAATGGGAGGAGTAACAGAGAATTTGCAGCCATCTTTTATCCACCACGGAAGTTATGCTCTTTAGCTTTATTAAATATGGCCAAACTGGTTTGCAAAGTGTAGGTATTAATTTACACTCTGTAATAAAGAGTCTCACTCCATTTTTGATGTTTGATAGTTGACAGCCTTAAAGCCACATGCCTCCCTCTTCCCCTTGTGCTCCACATCTGGGCCAGCCAATAAGAGGGCCCTGGTGCTCTCTCTCTGGCACTGGATGGAAATTTAAATCAGGGAACTCCCGGCCAGTGTGGAGGGGCCCTCAGCCCAGCGCCTCCTCCCCCACCACCATAATGAGAGCTCCTCCTTGTTCTTTCAAGCCATTTCAGACCTGCTTGGGAACTGGCTGTGCTCCCCGTAGAAAGCCTCATTATGTCAATAATCAATCTTGTCATATCAATCACATCTCTTGATGCGAGTGGCCTCATCAGTCTTCACATTTGAACCAAATTTTGTGTGAAGATTTGATCCCGTAGTGGGGCAACCATGAAACACGCTCCTGACAACAGCACATGAGTTTCACCTGGCTCACACCTGGCTACAACCTGGCATCATCAGATTTTTAGATTTCTGGCAATCTGATGGCAAACATGGTGTGAAATAATAGGGAAAAAAATGTGTGTGTATATCTGTTTATCTATATATCTCTATATGCCCCCAGTTGCTGGCACAAAGTTTCTAAAACCCTTATAAATCAGGGTGCCAGGGACACAAGGTTTTCATTACAGTTGGTGTCGGGGAACTGGGACTTGCTAGAATGGCCCTGACTCACAGAAACATGGTTTGGGAAGAGAAAGGCAAAGAGGTGGGTGACAAGCAAGGAGCCTCTGATTCCTACACCCGTGGTATGGTGCAGCACCTGTCCTGCACTCAGTCACTCCAGCTAAGAGTTACCAACTCCCTGAGAGCTGGTTCACTGGAGGCATACGGAAATGCAAACTAGTAAGAAAAAGGCAAAATATTCAATCCCTTGGTTATCTGTAATAGTTAAAATGCAATTAAAGGAGAATGCTGGGTCTGACCTTGTTGCTGGACCAAGCTCGGATTTGGGTGCATCTAAGCTTCAGCCACTTGCCTAGAAGCCACTCCCCAAGGGAAAAGTTATCCAGCGACAACACAAAGTACCTCTAAGACAGACCTCTTCTGCTGGCCAAGGAGGTAGTCAATGTAGGGGAAGGGCAAAACCAAGAAGCCACTGAAACCAGGGGCCAGGGTGAAGGAGCGGTTTCATTTCGTAGATTGCTATCATCAGCTTCCTCTGGAGCCCTTACTGTCAGGATTGTGAGAGTGACTCACGTGGGGCCTGTCTTTGGTTGTGAATGCTGCAGAGTGGAAGAACATGTTCGGGTGAGTCAGGACCCACGGCTCCCTATTAAACAATCACAGATGGCTGCACATGATCCAGACACATAGGAGGGAACAGCCAGCCTGGCAGATGGGATAAAAGCCACTGTAAGGACTGTTTCCCCCAAGAAAGTGGGCCGTCTGTTTCCGCCTTATAAATGCCAAGTGGATCACCCCAGATGAAGCAGCTTCTGTGCTCTGTATGTAAGCCATGTGGGACCGGCTTCATGATGGACATTCACCCTCTGAATATGCTTGTTTCCCAGGTCACAGTAAAGTCTGTGGTTAAGGGATGGCTTTTTGCATGGGAACCCCATATAATCTACTGCTGCAAAACCGAAGGGCAGTTTGGGAAATCTTATTGCATTTGCTGTCTCTGCTTCCTCTTGTGGGTCTTAGTAAAAATGAAAATATGGGGCACCTGGCTGGCTCAGTCAGTAGCGTATGAGACTCTTGATCTTGGGTGAGTCTCGTGAGTTTGAGCCCATGTTGGATGTAGAGAATATATAAAATTTTTAAAAAATTTTAATATTAGATTAATTAATGAGAAAATGAGGCGTCAGAGGAGAGAGTCAAGAGGCTGGTCTTAGCAGCGTGGGAAATTTACAGTTATTAAGGAATAAGGTGAACAAGGTGAATATTGATAGAAATGAAACAAAGAGGAGAAAGAGAGGGAGGAGTGGAGTGGTAGGACACACCCCAGCAGGGTGGGAATCTTTACATGGTTTCTTTTAAGTGGGGTGAATAAATGCTGAATTGATGGAATGAGAACAAAGGTTTTACTACAGCACCGTGGCTCTCAAATGAGTCTTCTCGCTTGACCCTGGCTTGGAGAAATTGTAGAATCCAGGAGGCAGAGATCACAACCAGAAGCCTGACCAGCAATCATCTGGGGCAGTGGTTGGGCAGATCAGTCAGGTTACAGAGAACAACGGGGCCAGGGTCCCTTGGCTCAACCCCTCCCTGGGGACCCAAACCACTTTTTTTTTTTTAACTCTTTTCCAAAAAGTGTTACTGTGATATGAGGGACATACAATAAGTTGCACATAATCAAAGTGTACAGTCTGATACATTTTGATGCATATATACACTCCTAAAGCCGTTATTATTATCCTGGTATTCGTCACCCCCCCACATTAACCTCATGCCCTTTGCCTCTCCCAACCCTGCCCAGGCAAGTGCTGATCTGCTTTTTAGCACCATCGACTAGTTCACACTTACTAAACATGCGTGGGACCATGCAGTGTGATCTGTTTAACCAAATAGCCTGGCTATTTTTGTTTGTTTTCCACGTCCATCTTGTTTGTCACTGTGGTGGAAACACAGATAAAAGCTTTACCTTCTCAGACGTTCAGTGGTACTGACGACGTTCACACTGTCGCGCAGCCATCAACCCCGTTGCCCCCAGATCCCTCCTCAGCTTCTCAAACCCAGACTGTGTCCTTATTAAATACTGACTCCCCACACCCCATCCCCTGGCCCCTGGCACCCACCATCTACTCTCTGTCCCTGTGGTTTTGATGACACTAAGTACCTCATAGAAGTAGAATCTTAGAGTGTTTGTCTGCCATTAGGTTTTTTGAGGTATAGTTCCGTTGATTTATTTTTTTCCCCTTCGAGTGGGCCATACTCTCCTGTTTCCTTGTGGGCCTTTTTTTTTTTAAAGATTTATTTGTTTATTTTAGAGTGGGGGAGGGGCAGAAGTTGAGGGAGAGCAGACTCCCCACTGAGCATGAAGCTCCATGCAGGGTTGGATCTCACAACACCGAGATCTTGACCTGAGCCAAAACCAGGAGTTGGATGCTTAACCCACTGAGCTGCCCAGGCGACCCTGCCTTTTTTTTTTTTTTTAAGTAATCTCTACACCCACCGCCAGCCTTGAACTCATAACCTCAAGATCAAGAGTCACCTGCTGGGGCTCCTGATCTCAGGGTCTTGAGATCAAACCCTGCGTGGGGCTCGGCACTCAGCGAAGAGTCTGCTTGAGATTCTTTCTCTCCCTCTGCCCTTCCCACTGCATGCTCAATAAATAAACAAACAAATAAATAGCATCTTAAAAAAAAAGTCACCTGCTCCACCGACTGAGCCAGCCAGCCGGCCTGGTGATTATTTGGTGGCACACTAGACATTTGAGTCTAATAATGCCCTAGCTCTGGACACCAGATTCTCCCTCCCCCATTGTTACTGTGCTTATTGATTGTTTTTGTTTTTGTGAAGGTCATGGGCGGTCTCTGTGCCTGGGAGCAGCCTGCAGGTTCACTTACCATCTTCCCAGGTCTTCTCTGAGCCCTTCCTTGGACGCGTGCAGTCGCTTTCTCATTCCTCCTGTATGCACAATTGTTTTATTTCATTGTGGTTTTTCGGGGGTCGGGGTGGGGGCTGGTGTTTTCTTTAGCCGAGGTATAAGGCCCACAGAACACTGTGTAAGCTGAAGGTGTCAGGATCTGACACATTTATACACAGCGACGGGTACACTACCGTGTACACTACTGGTAGTTTATACACTACCGCGGTGCGGGCGAACACGCCAACATCATTATCGTTTCTTCCACGTGGTGAGAACACCTAAGATCTCATCACCTGGCAGTTTTGAAGTGTGTGATATGGGACTGTTGACTATAATGCCTGTCCTGGATATTAGATCTCCAGAACTCACTTATCTACTAGTTTGTGCCCTTAAACCACATCTCCCCAGTTCTCCCCCAGCTCAGCCTCCGGTAACCACCGTGCTACTCTTATTCTCTGTCTCCATTATATGCAGTGGTTTTGAACGTTCTAGTTTTTAATGTCTGGCTCCTGAAAGCGGAAAAGGGAACAATGAAGGGGGGATAAAGGCACCAGCCCTTCAAATCCCCTGGAAGTCACCTCAGCAGGAGAGACAGGGGCTTGTCACGGGGGTGGGGGACAGCAGCGGCTGCCCACCTCTGTGCACCTCTGGGCTGAGATCCCTGATACTTGGAGGACACTGGTCCCTTTCGTCCACCCTAGTTCACCCCGTGAGCTCCATACCACGTGGCTGGCTGCCTGTGTGGGGCTGGGGGCCAGAGGCTGCTACTGTGGGAAGAGCTGAAATCGATGGCAATTTACCCTCTGGAGCCTCTCCTGGAAGTTGTAAGCCTTTCACAGGACTCCAGAGTTCCAAAGTGGTTACTTTAGATTCTATTAGTACAGTTGTTGTCCAGGTGGGGAGACGGTTCCCAGTGCTTCTTCCTCCACCATCTTCTCAGGATCTTCTCTGATCCAAGGCGTTTTGCATGTGTGATCCGGGGTGGAGAAGAGAAGCTCCCCGGACTCCTTGACGTAGGAGCCCTGTGCACTGTGCCACCAAGACCCACTGGTGAAGCCCTGACTTGGGCTACAATTAGATGGGAGGTAAAAATATAACTGTTGGTAAGACTGTACAAGTTGGAATGTTTGGGCAGGCCTGATGTAAGGAGGTTGTGTCTCCTTTACCTAATGTTTTATGTAAATGGATATTATGTCACGCTAGGAAACATGTCCCCTACTTTGTATTGTAAAACCAAAACCTGTGCGTTTTGTCCTAATGGGCTAAGAGCCCTAGTGCTTTAAGTCCTAAATGGAGGTTAACAGTCAGGAATGTAAGGGTTGATGGAATTAAGGTAAAAGTACGAGAACTGGTATGTTGGAACAGGTTTTACGTGAGATGGTTGAGTCTCTTAAGCCAGACTGTACTTTGGGGATGGGCATTGTGCCTGCCTGGGGAATGTTTCCTCTACTATTGTAAAGCCCAAGGCAGCGAGCCGTGTAAACTTGCAGAGCCAACGCAGTAGGGCAGGGAGGGACCGAGTCTCTGTGCTCTGGCCCTTGTGTAGACGGTGTGAGCGCCCCCCAGCGACGACCACTGGGACTTTCGACTAGAGAATCTTCCATTTGACGGGCATTGACCACCGTGCTCCCAGACATAAACTGAAGTTACCCTGGCGAGGGAAGGACTTAAAATGATCTTGGCACCTGTTATGCTCGTGTTGTCTTGGGTAATGTCAGAGAAACGCTCTCGTGGGGACGGCAGTGCCCAGAAGCATGCCCTGATAAAATGAAAAATGGTTTATACAGGACTGTGCTGCCTGGAGAATGCAAGGAGACACCTCTGAGCACCGAGCCTCTTTCCCAGGGCTGGCTCTGGAACTGCATAAGATGCCGCTGGATTCTGTTGTGCCTTGCACGGTGCCCTGTAAACAGCTTCCCACTGACCAACAAAGAGCTGCTGGCTCTCTGTGGATGGCCGTGCTGAAGGGAACGGGCAACATCCTGTTCGGAAGGCCACCACTCTGATCAAAGAAGGTACACACAAGTAAGTCCGGTGGGCTGAATTGCGAGCTGTTTTTCCAGCTGTGAGGGAAGAAATGAACAGGGGTAAAAACCCTGATGTTTTGGTTTCTACTGACTCGCAGGCAGGAGGACAGCGGCAACCCGGCCTACTACAGAGGTGCCCATATGAGGCTCTGTCTCGTGGAAATCGCTGTGGGACTTTGCAGGGTGCATTAAAGAAAGTAGGGCATGTTGAAGCTGGTCAGAAGAACCCCCTTCCAGGTTTGGAAGGTGACTGGACTCAACAAGCAGATATCCCCATGAGCTCACCTAACAAGTCCACGAAATGAGTGGACGTGGGGGCACCGATGGCCGAATGGATACATTCCTCTTGTGGCCTCAGGCGCACAAGGCCAGTAGGAGCTGTTTTGTCTGCCAGTCAAAGAGACAGGCTGCAGGTGGCCATGTGGCAGATTCCCCGGTGGAAAGGTCCTGAACGTGCTGGCGCG